GGTGAGACGAGGGGCGGCATGGGGCGTCAGGGGGAGGGTGCGCGGCGCGTGGGGCCCCATGCGGGCGGCCGGCAGGGGTGCGAACGGCACCAGGGGCGGCGAGGGGGCAGTAGGGGCGATGGCACCGGGGCGTGGCGGAGGCATCAGAGGCTGGGCTGGCGCTCGGCGCCTCTGCGCCACGCCGAGGCCGCGGGTGTTGATTTTTCTGAATTCCTGCGAAGAGCGCCGCCTGCCCCCTTGTTCTGACCCCAACCCAACCCCAACCCAACCCCAACCCGACCCCAACCCGAACTCCCCTGCCCCCCTCACAACAATCAGGGGCCTTCAGGAGGGCTGGGACGGCCCCGCCCTGCTGGTCTTCAGCGACGGCAAGAAGATCGGCGCCCGCCTCGACCGCAACGGCCTGCGCCCCGCGCGCTTCTGGCGCACCGCCGACGACACGATCTACGTGGCGTCCGAGGTTGGTGTCCTCGGGGACGTGCTCACCAACGCAGGCAACATCGTGGCCAAGGGGCGGCTGGGGCCCGGCCAGATGGTGTGCGCTGACCTGGAGGCCGGGTCGTTCTCGGAGAACGCTGACATCAGCAGGGACGTGGCGACGCGGCGGCCGTACAAGCAGTGGGTCGCCGCGAGCGTGCGGCGGCTGGAGCAGCTGTGCGCGGGCAAGTACCCCGGGGAGCCGGCTATGGAGGGCGCCAAGATGCTGCGGCTGCAGGTGTGGGGGCGCGGGGGGCGCGCGCGCCCGGGCGCGGGGCGGGCGGCCGGGGTGGCGGGCCCCGTTTTCAGGGCCAGCTGGCGTGCAGCGGGGGCAGACGTGCGATCAGGGGCGCGGGCAGGGGCGTAGTGCAGGGCGCCGCAGGGCGGGCAAGCCGGCAGGGGCGTATCACATTTTGTCGGCGCGCGTCTAGAACTGTTGGCCTTTGTCCTTCAAATTTGCGAATGTTTGACCCCTGGACCCCAAAACAACCCGGCCTTCCCGCCAGGCCGCCATTGGCATGGGTGCTGAGGACGCCCAGATGGTGGTGGAGTCCATGGCCCAGAGCGGCGTGGAGCCCACCTACTGCATGGGCGACGACATCCCCCTGGCCGTGCTGTCCGACAAGCCCCACATGCTGGCGGACTACTTCAAGCAGCGCTTCGCGCAGGTCAGGGTGCCATATGCGCGCGCACACACACACACACACACACACACACACACACATTGCGCTGTGTGCGGATTGTCATGTCGCTACAAGGCGGCTTGGGTGGGGGGGCTCGTGCAGCGCCCCACGGCGCCGCCAGCAGCGGGCCGGCGCGGGCGACGCACATCCGTGCTTGTCAATTGTATGTATGTCCGTGCAGGCCGCCCTTGCAGCCAACCGCATGGCTCACCTCACCTCAACTGGCCTGCTGCGCCGTGTCCCGAATGCTCCCCGACCTGTCAACCACCACCCTCCAGGTGACCAACCCCCCGATCGACCCGCTGCGTGAGGGGCTGGTGATGAGCCTGGAGATGCGCCTTGGGGCGCGCGGCAACCTGCTGCAGCCGGGCGAGAGCACGTACACCCAGGTGCTGCTGAAGAGCCCCATCCTGCTGGAGAGCCAGCTGGAGGCAATCCAGGTGGGGGGGGGCAAGGGGTGGGTGTCGGGGGTCTCTGCGCGGCTGCAGCCGCATGAGCGATGACGCAGCGGCATGTGTTTTCCGGTTGGGAAGCGGCTCGGGAGAGCTTTGGGCGCATCTGGTTGGGGGGGTGTTGTGCTTTTTGCACGCACGCATGGACGGAGCTGCCGCGGGCTGCGGCGAGGGGCGGAGCTTTGAGCGGCTTGCGAGCCGGCGGCTGCTGAGGGCTGTGCGGGTGCCCCTCGCTTGTGTCCCAGGTCACCACTTACATACAATAGTATGTTGACTCATACTCACACTCACACAATGACATACATACGCCCTCTCTCACACTCACTCTCTGTCTCTCCCTCACACACACGAACCCACGCCGACCCACGCGCCCACCCCCCGTAGTCCGACAAGCTCCTGGCCACCAAGACCTTCGGCCTGTCCTTCGCCGTCGGCCAGATCGGCGCCATGGAGCACGCCCTGCAGAAGCTCTGCCACGATGTGGAGGCCGCCGTCCGCGCCGGCTGCCAGTGCGTCGTGCTGTCCGACCGCGCCGCCGGCGGCGCGGCCGCGGCGCTGGAGGCGACCAAGGCGCCGATCCCGTCGCTGCTGGCGACGGGGGCGGTGCACCACCACCTCATCCGCGCGGGGCTGCGCAGCGACACCTCGGTCGTTGTGGACACGGCGCAGGTGCGCTGGTGCTTTGATGTAGGGGCAGGGGTTTGGGGGATGACTGCTGTTATCGCAAGAGCTTCTCGTCACGTGTTGCTGGGGGGGGGGGGCTGGGAGCTCTGTCTTTGGGGCTGCCTCAATGCCCCCACGCTGCCTGCGCCGGCATGCTGCGGTGGGCTGAAGGTATCCCCCACTTCGCCGGCCGCGCGCACTTGAGAACCGCTTGTCGGCCCGCACGTTGCACTCCATCGGTGCCCGGCCTTGACGCAGCCGCACAACCTCGGCCGCCCAAAGCGCCCACTCCCAAACCACTCCTGCTGACACTCACGCCACCCTGACCTCCCCTCCCCCCCCCCCCCCCCCCCCCCCCCCCCCC